AAAAGGAAAACCTAAAAATATAGTGGTGTGCTTTTAACATCAGTACTAATCTGTAATAACTATAAATTTCCTCCCCTTTATCCACATTAGCACATTTATTCTTTATGCTTCTTTCTACAGYTTTGTAAATTAACTGCTGCACAGTGCCCTGAGGGGTCCTGAGGCTTTGCCAGCTAAAAACTGAAGACGCTGCTCTAGCTAAATMCTTGTTCACCGGGCTCTCGTGCTACAGAGGTCACCAGACCATTCACCTGGCAAATACCTGACGCCAGAGTTCACACCTCCCTATAAAATGAGTAGAAAAGAGGGAGACTCAAAGAAAACAAACAAGCATGAAAATGATCAACCTCATTTTAATTTATCGTGTGATTAATTGATTTATTGCTCATCACAACAGGCCAAGCTAGTAACTATATAAGATTATTATAAGTTAGGCTGTATAGGCCGGACTTAAAACCTCTCATTTAACAGCAGAATTGTGTTTTGGTATTTTCTGTCCACTTTGTGGCTTCTTTTGTTTTTCCCCAAGTTAATAAAAATGATTTTGTTTAAGTATTTATAAAGCTAGAAATCCTTTTAGTTTCTCCCCAGAATAATTACAGCGATAATAAAAGAAACTTATATTTTAGCAACATAATTCGTTAGCCAAATATGTGTTTTTTCCCCTCTAATGACTGAGCATAAACACAGGGCGACCTTCCAGTTCCACTCCAACTTACTCCACCCCCACCCCGCCTCCTCCCTCGATAATTATTTCATTTATTGATCCAGCCAGCATCCTCGCCACTAAAAGATAAAGGAAAAGTTTGTACAGTCTCATGAGGTGGTAACTGTGGAAGGATGGGGGGAGTCGGAGAAGCGTATTGATTTTTTTTGAACTGTGACTCTGATCACTTCGAACAGCTCGGGATCGACAAACCGTCCCCAGGCAGAGCAAAACCTTGATCCAACGAACAGGAAGGCAGCCGATGGGCGTGTCCGTCAGGAACAAACATTCCACAATCCAACAAAAACAAGAGAGGGTATTAACTGTGATGCCTATCGATTGGTCAGCACTGCACACAGTCAAAGAGACAAGCTGCCCGATTCGATTTGTCTGCAGACGGAGCAGGAGTAATTGTAAAGAACGGCAGAAAAAAGAGCAGCGCGGGTCAACCAGCCGCCGGAACGCAGTCTGCATGCTGTTGCACACAGACGGAGGAACAAGTGAGAGCGAGGGGGAAGTAAGGCAGGGGAACGGAATGAGGAAAATCAAGGAGAGAAATAGTCCCACGGCAGTGTCATTAACAGTCAAGGCAGAGATCTCCCCCCCCGGCTGCGCTGCTCACTGCTTACCGGGGTTCACTTTTTCCAGACGGATCTGTGAGCAGGAGAGACATTAAGAGCTTAGAGGCAGCTTTATTTTGTCATGTTTGGCTGAATCTCACATGGTAGGTCAGCAAAAACAAGACATAAKTTACAAGCTACAAGACTGTCCTGTTTTTTTATCTTTATTTTTATTTTTTACCTAAACCTGACATGATGGAAGTGAGACATATTTATGCACCAAAAACAAAAGAAAAAACACAAGCATTTCAAGTACTGGATTTATCCTTGTGATGCTAAGGAATTTGCTAATGCAATATTTTGTTTTTTATATTTTGAACTAGGATTTCTTCATTCTTTACAGTCCTAAAGTGCCTCTTACATGCATTTCCTTCAAATACGAAAAGTAAAAGAAAACATCTCTATATTTAAGAAACTTGGCATAATACACACAATTTTACACATTTTCACACATTATTGGCAAATTTTCTGTTGAATTTGGCTCAGCCAAGGTGAAACAGGAAGTGACATCAAAGGGGAATTTTATAGGAAAAGAAACTCTCTGGTCTTTGTTTGCTGAAACTATATTAACTGAACTCTGACTCTTCTTTTTTATCTCTTAGATATTAACTCAAAATAATCTAAACAAACATCAGATACTTCTTAGCCATTATAGAAAATTTGTTTACATTCAGACATTCCCCTTTGACGTCACTTCCTGTTAATTCACATGCAAACATCTTAACAACTGTTCATCTCAGCGACATGAAATTGATTTTCCAATATGTTATCAATATTATATTATATTTCTAAAAATGCATTCATATTTATTACAAAATGAGATGTCACAGGCACTTTAATACATTTAATCGTCGTAAAGGAAAGAACGTTTCAAATGCAACTGACATTTTCTGTGAAAATGCAGAGTGAATAGTGAGTGCTGCAACTTGTTGGGTAAACTGAAAAAAGGTGGTAAATCAAAACAGCCAAAAATTGCAGCTAAAATAAGCAAAACACTAGCTAAAAACAAATTAACTATGAACTCTAGCTGTCTCTGCTCTCATGGCTGGTTTTGCTTTTCTTAACTACTGAATCCAACCTTCCTGCTGGGTCTTTTAACCATAAACTTTGCAACAATTKTCATTTTACAGCTGCGTTTGTGCCATTTCAAACGAGTTCAAATAACTTTTTGAGTATGAATATAACGTGACCTTTTACTCCCAACAAACAGGGCTGATCTCCAAGAAAACAGACCAGAAACATGACTGAATTAGCTGTAATTTTTCCAACACAAAGCAGAGCAGCAACAACTAATGGTGTTTTTCTAACTCAGCTATCAAACAGTGAATACAAATAGGTGAGAAGGAATCCAAACAATAGACAGACTTTTAACTCCGCACACTGATCTGTGGAAAAAACATCTTAATTTAAACTCAGACGCACATAAGTGCTGATGGTATTAAGACAGTTATTGTTTTTTTAATGCATTTCTCAAAAAAAAAAAGCTTTTTGAGCACAATAACTGAAAACTTATTTTACCCACTTCAGTGATTAAAACAGATAATTATGTATAAATCTGTGTTGTCTGTTGATCAGTGTCAGTGAAGTGCAGTGCTCACTCAAAAATGCATTAAAAACAAGCAGATTACAGCTTTTTTACATAAAAATTAAACTGTATGCAAAGGAACAGAATAATTTTCCTGTCAATCGTTCAACAATGATACAACTCTTATTTCAATGAGCGAGTTTAAAATTCTTGGATAAAACTTTAAGTGCAAAGGTGATGGTCTGAGTTGTTTATTTCTCCATGTGTTTTGGATCATTGTAGGCTAGAAAATAAAAACGAGGCAAACTTCTCACATAAAAACTCTGCAGAGACAGTGCTAAACATTCAGTTACAACAATAATATTTTTACAATTCAACCATCTTTAATGGCATTTCTAATTTTTATTTTATTTTATTTTACTTAGATGCTTTAAAGCTCACATCAACAAAAACCCATTATTCCTGGGATAATTTAGGAGGGYCCTTAGTAACACATTAATTATGGCAGTTGAATGGATTTTCTCATTATGGCGAGCTAAAATTGYTCAGTCGTGGTGAAAGGGGAAGAGGTCCGTGAACAGATTAACAGAACAATCTTTAATGTTTTATCTTCCAGACACATGCAGAGAATAGATGTGGTCAGGTTGACTCTAAATCACCGAGTCAATTACCTCCAACATATGGAAGAGCAGCGATTTGGATTTAAAAGATGAGAGTAAAGGGACTGTATCAAAGGACTCTCCYCAGCGATCCTGCGTCCCTTAAGGCTATACTTATGAAAACCTGACTGACTCTGAATTGGGGTCGTACTGGTTGTGATGGCCTTGACGGCCAGCTAAGATGAGATGGGAGATGGAGCACCTGGTCCAAGAGCAACTGCTTACCTCTACAGGGATTTGTACAATTAACTTAATCGCATCAAAACACGTTCATCAGCTCTCTAACAAATGAGTTCATTATGTTAGATATGTTCTCACATCCATCCAAACCGTTGAAAATTAGGAAAGAAATGCATTGAATGTGAATTTTTTTAGGAATTGTATATATTGCAAATGTTTGTATTTGAAACCAATTTAGGACACAGAAATAAACAGTAGTTCAAGTCAAATAGAATAAACTATAT